ACAAATGAACTATACATCATATAGAATGTCATATCATTATATAACAAATGAACTATACATCATATAGAATGTCATATCATTATATAACAAATGAACTATACATCATATAGAATGTCATATCATTATATAACAATTGAACTATACACGTAAAATCTCATATCATTATATTACCACTAAACTGTTCACCAACAACAGCCATAAAACTAGCGTATGTGGTGCAGCGGTTACGTTCGTCCCTGTCGCATACAGAACACCCGAGTTCGACTCCTCAAGTGGGGAGAAATTTGTATCGAGTGTCTCGGTCTCTCCGCTGAGATATTGCATCGATCCTTCTCAGCTCGGGTTGGCCATGACAGGTAGGGTCGGAAGCCCGCTTCCTAAATGATCTAAACTGTGTCGATGGGTAAAACAACTACACTGAAAATCAATTGGAAAGAGAGAGACAGTTAACCTCCATTTATATATATATATATATATATACCTATATAATTCACGTATATAATATCTTCATGTTTATTATTTAACAGCCGAACAACACTTGGGATGAACCTAAGAACGTGCAGAAAAACAAGGGATTGTAAGTATACTAGTGTTTCTTTGATGTCGTCATCAACAGAATGTATGGCTTCTTTTTTTAGTACGGGGTTTTACGGCGCTCGCAACTGCATAAGGTCATATTATGAGCGCGCTTGTATGTATTGGTTCGATTCTCACTTGGGAAAGTCATCTGACCGAGTGCCTCAGCCTGCCCGATGGGGTGTTGTACCTCATTTAGCAAGAGCGAAACTTTCAAACAGGCTCTGGAAGCAGCCCGCCTCCTAAATGATCTAAAATGTGTCGCTGTGGGTGTAAAGCATTAACAAGACAGTATATACAAGCAATATCCGGTGACTGTACAATATTCATTTAGAATGTCATATCATTACATAACAACTGAATTATACATGCAGAATGTCATATCATTATATAACAAATGAACTATACATGTAGAACCTCATCTCATTATATAACAAATGAACTATACATCATATAGAATGTCATATCATTATATAACAAATGAACTATACATCATATAGAATGTCATATCATTATATAACAAATGAACTATACATCATATAGAATGTCATATCAT